TGCAGGCAGGAAAAGGCTTTCAATCCCAGCCGAGCCCTGTTTCCGTCAGGAGCCATTCCCTCTGTCATGGGGGAGGGCTGGACCATGCCGTGCTTTTGATATGGGGACCAGTGAAGCTGGGCTACGGGGAGAGCAGGACCACAGGGTTTTCATGCTGTACCCCAAAAGCATTTCCAGGCTCTCTCCTTTGTGCTGGGAAAGCTGCCTGTCTCCAAGCAATGCAGCTGTTCCTGCCCCACCTTTACACACCAGAGCTGGTGAGACCCAGGAAAGGGGTTGCCTTTAGGGCATGCAGCAGAGGTCTGGGCTGGCTGAGACATCCTTTGCTGGGGGTCACTGCTCCCCATCCCAGGAAGGCATTCCAGAGCTCTGACATGCCAGGAAAATGCCTGCTCAGAGCTGTACAGGCAACCTGAGAAATTCCACAGCAAAGGTCACCAATGCCAGCCACAGAGGGGGAAACTGAGGCATGAGGAGATAACATCCTTCCCAGGGCTGCTCCAGCCTCTTAAAGCTGACTGGAGGAAGAGGACTGTGGCACAGGGTCTCTCTTAGTTCCTCAGCCCAAACCCACAGGATCAGGGAATGCCTGGCCCCTGCTCCTCCAATCCCTGCAGCAGCACACACGGGTGGAAAGGGGAGGCACTGGCAAAGGCTGGGCTTGCTGCGATCCCCTCCCGCTCCATGATTAATTGAACACAAGCTAAAATTAGCCTGGAGGCAGCACCCCTGGGGTCTCCTAGCAGCATCCCACTGCCCGCCGGCTGCCTGCAAGTGGGTCAGGCTGCAGCTCCCTCCCAGCTGGGCACCCTGGGTGCTTGGGGGACCCCCACGCTCTGCCGAAGGTGGGAGCATCGCTCCTGGCTCCATGGCACAGCTCTGCACCTCTCACCTCCCCGCTGCCGCCCTTCCCAGAGGCTTTTCCCTCTCTGGATTCACCGGGCAGGGCTGCGTTATGAGGAGCAGCTGGGAAGGCACAAGGCTGCCTTTTGGGATGGCAGGAGTGTGGATCCCCGTCATGTTCCTCCCCATGCCTTCAGGGATCTGTTATTTTTAGCCACTTTCTCTACCTCATGTTGCTAGCTCGGCTCTGGCTCTTTTTCCTCCCCTTCCCCAGCGTTAATTTGTTTTCTCTGTATTATTTGCAGATTCGGGGAGGCAGAACGAGGTGTTTTGGCACAGGGGACCACTCAGCCATGGCTTCTTCATGCTGCTCTCCATCCAGGGTTTTGGTTGGGTTTTCTCACGGCTATTTTTAACGCACACCAACAGCTCTGAGGGGATGAAACACCAAGGGGTAATGCAAATTTGAGGTTCCCTGTGGCCCATGTGCCAAGCCAGGTGGGAGGGTGCTCATGGTTGTGCAGGGATGCTCCCGGGGAGGCAGGGCAGCACCTGGACACAGCCCCCAGCTGCACCCTCTGTGCTGGATTACATACAATGCCTCCTGCTCCCTCTTGACCCCTCTGCTCATCCAAGTCTGCAACCTCCCCCATGCCACATCAGCTGGGGAGAGCAGGGAGGCTGGGCTTTTCCCTTGGATCCAGAAGAAAGCAAACAGGGAGAAAGTTAATTAAAAACTTCAAAGCCAGATCATTCTAATTTGGCTTAACACGGCAGTCCTGCTCAGCATTGATGCTGTCCCAGAGGTGCCTGCTGGGGCTTGGGCTGGGAAGTGCCCAGAGTGTCACATCACAGGATGTTCGTGGGATTGTCACCCACCACTGCCACCACTGCAGCCCTGCTCAGCCCTGGGGATAGGCTGCCACAGAGCTAAGCTCGGGGCTGGGCACCTGGGCACCAGCCTTCCCAGGGACTGGATTTTGAAGCCAGGAAGGGTGATTCCATGGGGAGGCTGTTCCTCAGTTTCCCCATGGCACAGGGCTGCCAAAACTGCTTGTTGGGAAGATGTTTTCAAAGCACCTGGGGTGGTGCTGATCCCCATATCCTGGCATGATACCACTGCCCCATGTGAAGCAGGGCAGGGCTGGGGCTCCTGGGGGGAAGCAGGGGGTGTCTGCCTCAGCAGGGTCCAGAAAAACAGTGGCCCTTGTCCTAGGGTGAGGACCTGGCACCACGGGTCCTGACCCCTCCAGCCACTGCTCTGAAGGAAGTAGGGGACATCTTCCTTGCCCAGTTCTCACTCTTTTCTCCAAAAGGAACCAAAAGGTTTTTTCCAGAAAGCTACGTCACAGGACAGTGATGCTCCTGCCCAAGCGCTCTGCCGCCTTGCTCTGCCTCCTGCCCCCGCTTTCAGGTTTTTTTGGTGGTGGGTTGAGGGTTTTTTTTCAGAACTTTTGGCTGCATGGTGAGTAAAGGCATCCTGCTGTCTGAGGGCTAACGGCTCGTTGGAGAGATAATAAAGCAAAGGGGAGTAAATTAAAGTGCCTATAAATAGCACCAGGAGAGGAAAAGGAGATGAAGTCATCTTCCTTCAGCTGAGCTGGTATTTGCATCACTCCTTCCCTTTGCCTTCCCCTGCCCCCTCACCCTGCTCGGGAAACAGTCATTCCCAGACACTGGGATCCTGCTGTGAGCTCTGCATGCCCCCCTGGACCTCCATGGGGCTGAGAAATCTCCTCCTGGGGTGTCTGCCCAGTGCTGGGGACTCACTGGAGACCACAGCGAGGTGCCAGTCACTTGCCCCCAGGCTCCATGGCATCTTCCCTACGGATCTGTGGCATTGCCCTGTGCAAACCAGAGCAGGGCCCTATGCAAACCAGTGCCTCCAGCATGACTCCAGCACTGCAACCTAGGAATAGCTTTCAGGAGCCATCACAAACCCATTTTCTCCTTTGCAGCTCATAAAACAGGCAGCTAAAGAGACCCCCAGGACCAGTGGCCTGGAGGAAGGGATGCTGCAAACCCAACAACAGCAAGTTCACCCAGAGAAGCCCCTCCAGGAGCCAAATTCCATAATTTACATTTTTATTCTTTAAGATTCTAACATCCAAGACTCAAAAACTCCCCTATCAGTCCCAGGACACATGGGAGAGGAAGGATCCTGGCCCTGCAGGAGCCTCCCTGGAATCAGCAGAGAGCTTCAGATCTCTCCTCAAACCTCTCCATGCCAAGGAGGCCACTGCCCCTGCAGCCCCAAGCAGCCCCAAGCCCCCCAGCTGCCCCCTCACATGAGGTATATTTACATGAGTCAGAATGAGGTCACACCACGGTTTCCTTATGTCAGCTACCGACTCCTATTCCTGTGCTAGGCACACACACCCGTGTTATTCCAGGGTATTTATAGCTATTTTACATGTATAATTATAAAACCACAACTCCACACACACAGAGAAATAATCCCGGTGCCGGGATGCAGGGGAGTGGGGCCAGGCTGATGGGAGCAGGAGCAGGACCTGGACTGCACCGCTAATAATAATTCTTTGCACTTTATATATAGCCCCTTTCATCCACAGCTCTCAAAATCGCTTTGCAGGCATTTAATTAAGCTTCCCAACATCCTAATGTGATGACAGCCAAGTAATAATATCCTCGCTTTTAGGTACAAAGAGAGGGGGGGTGGCAGGACTTGCCTGAAGTCCCACAGCGAGTCCAAGTGTCCTGTGTCCTGCCCCACACTTGTGGGATGACCACAGGGGAGATTTTGACTCAAAAAGGGGATGAGGACCTCAAGATCCTGCCCAACCCCTCTCCTCGGTTTGGGGTGGTGACACAGATGACATTGCAAAGCCTGGGGATGGCAGCAGTGACCCCAGGGACTGCTGGGCTGCAGCTGCCCATCAGCTGGATCAGCAGGTGGAAGAGACAGATGCATCCTGACAAACTCATGGGTGTGAGCTTGGGGGAGAGCAATAAATGAGATGACAGGTCTGAAAGGGCTGATTTACGAGGAATATTAAGAGTTGTAATCCAGCCTGGCCTGGGCATCCCCCAGGGAGGCAGGGTGGTGACAAGGACCCAGAGACATCACAAACCAACAGGATTCACTGGGGCCAGCGCCAAGATATCTCCAAGCAGGAGGGCTGGAAGCAATTGTGCCTCTCAGGCACCCAGGCAGCTCAGTGTGGGGGAATAGATGGGTCTCAGTGACAGCCTGGAGATGGGATCCCACAAGAATGGGTCTCTGTGGTCCTCCAGGTCTGAGGTTTGTGCTCCCCTGAGCACCCTCTCTACCTCCCATGTACACTCCTACTTGGATGGACCAGTTGCCCCCATCCTTGGGGTGCTGCAGAGGGCACAGGGAGCATGGGCTCCAGTTTTGGACACTGATAGGATCACAAGCTGCCACCCAGCAAGAGTGACACAGCAAGAGAAGGTGGCCAGCAGAACAAAAGAGTGAGGAGGTGCTGGAGACAAACACTGGTGTTGGCAATGAAAGTGGCAGGAAAGGGGCAGGACTGCAGCCCTGGGGTGAGGCTCACTAACATCTGCAGAAAAAGCCTCTCTGCTGACTGCTGTCCATGCATGGAGGGGTGGGGGTAAGTGCCTGTCCTCATCCCCACCCTAGGGATGCCCTGTGGGGAAGCAGCAGTGGATGCAGGGTGATTCTGTACACATGGGGACTAAATGCAAGTCAAAAATCATAAACCTTGATTGGATCCTGTAGCAAGTACCATTCTGCCATTTTATGGTCATGCTGCTATTTTTTTCCTCCCAGATTATATCCAGATCCCTGCTCTCTGAAACAAGCTGCACACGAGCCGCCCACCAAGAGCCCCCAGCTCATACCAAGCCCCCAAGGTGAGGGACCAGAACCTGTTTGCATCACAAACCCAGGCACCAGAGAGCAATGACCGAAACATGAAGCCAGAAAACAGCTGCAAACCTTCTGAGGGGCTGCAAAGAAATGGCCCCAAATGAATGTGTCTCTGAGGAAAAAGGAGAGAGGGACATGGGGCAGGAAGCCAGCACAGTCTGGGCACTGCCACAGGGACAGCAGCACTTTTGCATCACTGAAACTGCCCCAGGACTTGCTGCTGTCACTGCTCTGAATGCCACAGCCGCTGTCCCCCCTCCACCACCAGGCAGACGTCTCTTACCAGGAGCTGCTGGCAGCTCTGCCACCTCGCTGGCCATGATGAAGGACTCGAGGATCCTTGCACGGAGCTCAGGGCCTGCCTCGGTGCTGAGAGGAGAAGGAGAGGGGTGTGAGGACACCAGCAGTTCCACCTCCCCGGAGAGCCCCAGCTCCCTGGAATAGCAGGCAGCTACCCCTGTGGGTCTGCTGTGGGACTGAGGCATTGCTGTGAATCCCAGTGTGTGCATCGTGCCTGCACACTTTGGGCCCTGGTGTGATGTCTGAGCACCACAGCTGGAATGGCAGCTTCCACATCTGGCCTCCCCCTACGGAGAACGCTGTGCCTGGGGCACTGGTGGATTGGCATACAGCAAAACCAGCTTGGTTGGGAGCAGCCTGGGCAGCATGGGCACCCTGCTCTCACCCTCCCTGTCCCATGCATGGCAGAGGACCTCACCTGGCGGCCCCAGGGCGCAGCAGCAGCTCCCCAAAGAGCTCCCCGAGGAGCCGGGGCGAGAGGCGGCTGCGGTGGCCGCCCTGGCACAGGTGACAGAAGTGGCGGGCGAGCTGGCGCAGGAGCAGTGCCTGGGGCTGTGGCAGGGCTGGGGGGGCCAGCAGGGCTCTGGCTCGCTGGCCACACTCCTCCAGGCCTGGGGTCTCTGTAGCAGAAGGGACACAGGAAAAACAAAAGGTTAGTTTGGGAGGGCAGGGGCATCCCCATGACTCTCACAGGAGCTCAGCACCTACCAGCACACAGGGCATGAGCTGTGGTAGCTCTCTGCTCCTCCTAGAGACCCAAAAAAACCTGACCTCAACCTCTCCCAACACTATTTTTTTACAGCCCATCCCTTTCCAGAGAGGCCATGGGACTTGTGGATATCCCAGGGTCTGCAGAGATTATTTCTTCAGGGTCTTGGCCATTTCTTTCTGGGGTTTGCCTGCCCCGTTTGCCCAGTCACACCTCCCCAGATCAGGTTGTGAGGTGCCTTTGGCACATTCCTTCTGTCAGCACATCCAGGTAGGGAGCTCAGAGGGCTGAGCTGCTCACCTGGTCAGGGCTGCACCTCAAAATCCCTCACTGCTGCTCAAATGGAGAACATTCCATGGTGCACAGCAAAGCCATAATAAAGGCAGAGGTGGGAAAATGGGCACCAGCTTGAAGATCTGCTGAATTTAAAGGCTCAGCCTTCCCCTCCAGAAACAGTGAGCTGGGAGGGAAAAGGGTTTTTAGGAAGAAAAAACAATAAGCACTTGGGCTGCAGGTGGGGCTGCAGTGAGGCTCCTGCAGCCCCCTGCATCATGGTCTCACTCCCCATGGAACACAGCACAGCGAGAGCTGACTGGGGTGCAGCTGCTTCCAGTGATACTGGAATTGCCCACATGGATAAAATCAGACAATGGCATTGCACATCACAGAACAAAAACCAAAACCACTTGCTGCCAAAACCACTGTCACGGGTGTCCTGAGCAGCCCACAGCCCACAAGCTCCCACCATGTCCCCAGAGCCCTCTGGCAGCTTTGTGAGCTGTGAGCTCAGTGCCCTGGGACTGCGATGCTGCCCCAGGCACAGGAAACAGCCACTCTCCAGCCATCCTCCATCCCTGCCTTGTCCCAGCCCTTTTATCTGCTGGGGACAGGGAAGTCCCCAGGGCTGGGCTGCTCTCAGCTGCCTTCAAAGCCCGGCGAGGCCGGGGGCTGACTCAGCTCCGCGGCTCTTTGCACCAGGACTGAGGCTTGGCCAATGCACAGCCAGCTCCCGACATCCATCCTTGGAGCCAGGGTGCACCGGAGCCGGAGGGGCAGGGGTCTGGGATCCCCTCCAAAGCAGCTCTGCAACCCAGCCGTGTTGGCAATGGGGTGCTGGTGAGATCTTGTAGCCAAGAAACTGCTCCTGAGGGATGTTTAGCTTTGATCCAGGGCCTCCCCTGCCACAATTATTGCTTTTTTTGCACCTAGAGGATCCTGCAGGAGAAGGCTCATGGCCAAAGGGGGAATTTGAGGATGTTTTTCCCTTCCTTTTGAAGGTGGTCATCTTGCTGCTTTCCCAGCTCTCAGCCTCAAGCAGGGCAGAGGAGCCTTGCAGGGCAGGCTGCCAAAACCCAGCACCGTCTCCTCAAAGACTTACATTTTAATTTTTTCTTTTAAGCCCCAGAGAAATCCTCTTCCCATTGGTTTCTCCACCGCTCTGCCCCCTCCTCCTCCTGCCCCTGTTGTGCCAGGAGCAGAGCCCGCTGCAGCACAGGCTGCAGGGAAAGGCGCTTCCCTTTGAAGTTGCTTAACGAGGCAACCCAGCTAATTGCTTCCTAATTGCGTTTTTATCCTTGGAAGGGAGGCAGCCTTTGATTTCTCCTCTGACGGGTGAGGGGAAGGCAGCTTCTCTGTGCCACCAGCCCCAGGGGTATTTCTTCTGGCTCTGTGTCTCAGCACAGGGCAGGGAGGATGGGGCGTGAGTTATCCCTCACCTTCTTCCTGAGTCCCTTCTGCCTCACTGGAAGGCACAAAGAGCCAGTGGCCTTTTCCCATCAAGACATGGTAGGAAAAGGCCACGGGTCTGGGTACTGGTGATCTTTTAGTGCCTCTTAAGGCAGCCAAGAATATGATCTGCCCAAGCACTAATCTGGCTTAGGATGGGGAGGTGATGCTCAGGGATGGAGGGTACTGCAGCAACTGGCAGTGAGATGAGAGCTGCTGTGGAAGGGGAAGAAATCCTGGTTTCACGAGCAGGTTCAGGTCCTGTTGAACACAGTGGGCAAGGGTTTGCTGTGTGCCTGGTGATGCCCACAGGCCCTCAGGCTGGGGGGGGTTGAGTGGCTCTGTGAGGACTCACTTGAAATGGATTTTGGTCTGGCCTCACTGTTGGGATGGACCATGGGCTCTGCTGACCTGGGTATGAGCCCTGCTCTGTTTATTTGAAAAGAAATCAAATAAAACCAAAACCTTGACAGTCTCCTACATTTGCACAGAGCCTCAAAAGCTTGCAGGGATCTAAAGGCGCTTCCTAATGGCACTAAGCTGAAAAAGCTGAGAATTTTTTGTGCCCATATAAAGCCAGGAGTTAATGAGATTACAGGAAAAATTTCCCAGGCAGCAGAGCCAAAATATTATAATAACGCTTTCTTCTGGGGCCAGCATCACCCAGCCTTGGCAGCTGCCCGTCCTGGCAGGCAGCACCTCCTTCTCCAGGCACTGCAGAGGGAGAAGACCACGCTGTGGTGGGGGCAAAGCAGCCCCCTGGATCTCCCTTCTTTCCCAGAGCATCTCCCAGTTGATGCTATGCTGCTCTGGCACAGGTGGTGTTCCCAATGGCCCTTTGTAAAATCTGCCTTTAGTACAGCATTGGGCAGGGGATGGGGTCAGGGCCACCCTGGAGATGCTGGGAAGTCTTTCTAGGGGCTTCCCAAAGTTTCTCCAGCCCCACAGAGGTGCCAGGTGTGGGGGCAGCCCGTGTGTGCTTACCTTGAGCCATGTGGACCAAATCACTGTAGAGAGCTGGAGGGATGAGGGGTGTGGGGAGCTCCTGGAGGTACCACTTCAGGGCATCTGCCAGTGTCTGGGCCTCGTACAGGTCCATGTCCACAGCTGAGGCATCTGGGGAGAGACACAGGGAACCCTGAGCCCATGGTTCTTCCCTCTGGCACAGAGCTCGGAGCTCGTCATCCCTGTGGGCCTTCCTGCAGACATGGGGGCTGATTTCTGTGCCCATGCCCCCCTCTCCCCCGTGGGGCAGTGCATGATTTCACTGCCACCACTCACCCAGCAAATATTCCTGTCCCAGTTTCCCCTGACCCCGAGTTCCACGTGCCCAAGGAGAGCATGCGGCAGCATCTCTGCTCTGGGTAAACTGTACATCCAGGGCATGGGACAGGGAGCCTCACCATCCCACTGGGGTCCCACTGCAGGATAGGATCCATGGCAAGAACTGAGCAACTGCTCAGGAACCTTCTAGTTTTCAGGGCCAGGTGCCATGTGCCAACCCCAGCCCAGCAGGACCTGCTTGGAGAAGGCATCCATGGAATGGGGTTATGGTTCCCAGACAATTCAAGTTGCTAAAGGCCCATGTGACCCCCAGTAATCCCAAAATGCTGTGAATGTGCCCCAATTGGCATCACTTCTCCCAGCCCTGAAAGGTGGCTGCCCAGGGGGAGGTGGTGGAGGATGCTCCAGGAATGGGGGAAAGCACAGGAGGCCACACAGCCTGGGCTCAGGGGCTCGGGGGTCCTGGGATCAGGACAGGGGCAATGCTGGGAGCAGAACTGTCCCATGGCCTGTCAGGAATCAGAGGGTGGGATGTGTCTGTCTGAGCCCCATGGCCAGGCCAGCACAGGGACATTGCTTCACCCTGGTCCAGGGGGAAGAAGCCTTTCAGCATCCTTTGGTATTGCCTCATGTGTTTGTCTTGGAGGTCTCCCATCCTGGCTGGGCTGGGTGGTGGCTGTCTGGAGGGTGATGGTGCCTTTTGCAAAGATCTGAAGGTTTCAAAATCTGGCTTTGGTTCAAACTGGACCCAAATGCAATGTTTTGAAATTCTTCTTCTTGGAGAATTTGGAGGGCGAGGGGTATGGGAGGTTGGGAATAATTTAAAAAATGAACATATTTGAGATGGTCTGAAATGGTTAATTAAAAAAAAAGAAAATCAAATTTGTCTTTTTTGTAAAGATGCTGTGTCAGGCTCCAAATGGCCTGGAATGACAGAGAAGAGTGTGGGCTTGCTCAGAGCAGGCTCTGAGCCCCCTTCCACTCTGCTCACTGGATCTTTACCCCCTGAATGCAGCTTCACTGAAATTGGAGCCATTTTGGGAGATGCTCCATCTCCCAGCCCACCATCTTCCAACAGAAAATGTTGTGAGCCTCCAACCACTCCAGCTGTGCTTCCTTCTGGGGTAATAAACCCAAAAGAGAGGAGCAACCCTCTTTCTTAGTACAAGGCTTTAGAGGCACACATTCAGCAGGGCTGGGATGGGGAGCAGCTGGGAAAAGCTGTTTTTGAGCACCTTGACCTTGATCTCCTCTGGTTGGAGTGTCCCTGCTGTGCACCAGGCAGCCTGGGAGCCTGCCTGCCTGCCTGCGTGGGAACACCAAGCTGCAGTGGGTCCCTTATGGCCAGTGCCTTCCATTTGGCTCCCAGACGGAGAGAAAACAGATTGGCCAATGCCCGAAGGGCAGCCTTTAACCCAGCCATTGGAGACGCTACCTCATTGTCAGCAGCTGGGAGCTGTGTCCCGGGGCAGCCTGGGGACAGCCGGGACAGATGCCACCATGAGCCATCCAGCGTGGCCAAATGTGACCCAGGGCAAATGGGGTGCTGCCCTTCTGGCACCCCAGGAAGTCACAGCATCTGCCCTTGGCATCCTCGAGGTGGGCAGGGCTGTGCCAGCTGCACCCTGGCCCCGTTCTGGTCCCTGTTCATGCTCCCATCTCCTGGCCACACTTCTGGACCCTCTTGAGGGTTATTTCTGCCAGGCTTTGTGGGGGCATGACAGTCAGTTCCCCATGTATGGTAGCAGTTCCCCTGGAGCTGTGAGCTGGCAGGTTGTCTCGGGCTGGGCAGGTGGAGGAGAGTGGGGTCAGGGATCCCACAGGATGCTCCAAAACCTGGTTTTGGCTGAATACAGCGCATGGCTAAAACCCAGGGATGCTGCTGGGGGGTCCCAGGGTCTCATTGCACTGCAGAGAGCTTTTCCCATCACTGGAATGCACCGAGCAAACCCCAGAGCCCTTCCCACCTGCCACGAGGGTTTCTGCAGGGACCTGTCAGTTGCCTTAAGGATGCTGGCCCGGATTGAGGAGAGCAGCCACAAGCTGTTCCTGTGCAGGGACGGGGCCGCTGCCGGGCGCTGGCCCCAGGCGATCAGCCCCGGGCTCCACCGTGGCCTAATTAGCTTGTTTGCCTCGTTAGGCATGAGCCTGGGGGGTGTTCAAAGGGAAGGCTCAGCCGGTTTCAAAGCGAGATTCAAAAAACATCTTTACACCCGGAGAGAGGCGCGATGGGGAGAGCAGGGGGATTCACACCGCGCTGACAGAGACTGATCGGCACCGTTCTCCGTGGCACTGCGACTAGAAGTAGCCATTAGCCCGCTGTCCCCGTCCTCCTGGAAATGCAGTGGCATTCTCCTGCCCCAGGAGTTCTCCTCCTGCCCCAGAGGCTGCCCTGGTGAGCTGGGCTCCCCACAGGGCTGAGGGCACAACGGGGATGCTCCGAGCTGCCCCCCAGCACCGGCTGTGCCCCGGCAGCTCGGGGAGGCTCAGCCGGCAGCGGGGGAAGGGTTAACCCCGGAGCCTTCCCAGACAATTACCACCGGCCTGACCCCACGGATGCTGCTCTCTTCTTATCTGAGGGAAATGATAACCAGCTATAAGAAGTTAATGAAGCTGCAGGATGAGTCAATGCTCTCCTGCTGCTCTCCAGATGTTCCCATCTTTTCCCCAGGGGAATGATGGAGGAATGACGGAGGGATTCCATCTGCCTGCCATAAATAGAAGGAAAACACCCCAAAACCCCAACCTCGACCCCATACCAACCCCCTCCAACACACAACCTGCCTGCTGACCTGCTGGCAGAGCAAGCATTTGGGGACCAGTGGCGAGCATGCCTTGCCCATGGAGGGGTGAAAAGCAGGAATAAACTTTGGACTGGGGACAGGGTGCGTGGGATGACCACTGGCCCAGAGGGAAGGACTCCCAGCCTCCTCCTACTGGCGTTCCAGACCCCACATCCCAGCAGAGGCAGAAAGGTGCTGGAGCTTTGGGCTGAGTCAGGCTGGGCAGGAAACTCCAGGAGCTCTCCCGCAGCTGCAGCCGGCCAGGGAGGCGTGAGTAAGGCTGAGTTTCGGTAAACGAGGAGGATGTTTAGCCACCAGGGGCGGGGGGGAGGTGGGGGCTGTTCTGAAGGAGAGGCTTGGGCAGGTCCTGGTAACCAACTGTCCCCTGCTTGTGGCCACAGGTGACGGCTGCTCCCACAGCCCTGAGCAGCTCGTGGGTGACAGGGTGCAGGCCCTGCCCAGCACCCAGGGCCCCTCTCCCAGCAGGGAGCTCCAGCAGGCTGAGCTGGACCTTGGCCACCGAGCGCTGCTGCAGTGAGATGCTCTCAGGTGCTTGGTCCCTGTGACAGAGGGGCACCCAAACCAGCCTGGGGCTGACTGAAATACCGACCTGGGGATTTCCCTACCCCTTCCAGACCTTTTAGTTTTAGTTGTCCCTGGCTGCTAGAGAGATGTCCTTGCTGTCCAGTTGTGGGGGCTGTACGTTCCCATCTGCACGGATGCTGACCAGGCACTCGAGCTCCTGGGCATCCCACAGTGAGGGTTTACCGGGAAACTGTGCACCAAATCAGGGAATATTTCCCAGCTTTGACTCAGCATCATTGTAACATCTCCCAGCCAGCCTGCTGGTACCTTGTGCTGGGACTTGGCAGCTGCCAGGACACCCCCTGCCCATGCACGGGAGCTCCTGCCAGCTCCAAACACTCTCCCAGCTGGGTTTCACCCCACTGCACCCTTGGCTTGCACTCAGCCAGGGTAGGGGTGCTGGGATCCCGTTTGAGTGTGCCCACTGAGACTGCCTTCCCCCACCTCACCTTCCCTAAGGCAATCCCCTTCCTCAGTTTTCCCAGCTGCTATGGGAGGGGATGGCAAAAACTCACCCCCAGTTCTCCCTGATGGGTCTGGCAGGGATGTCTCTGCTGCTGCTGTTTATTTACCCTTCTTTCATCACCACCAAATATAAGAGATGAGCTCATGCCTCTCGCCAGTCTCTGACGACACGGGGTTTATTTCCACTGCAGGTATAAATAAAAAGCAGTGCCGCAGGCACCGGGGCGCCTCACGCTCGGGAGGAAAGTCATCCTGGTGGAATGAGCTTGCCCAGGGGAAACCAGAGCCCTTGGGGGCCTCCGATCCCCTGTGGCATCCCAGGGATGAGGATGGGGATGCGCTCCCTCCCTGCGCATCCACCCCGTGCTGACGGGGGCAGCGGCGTGAGACCCCCCAAGCCGCTCCTCACTGCCCGACCCTTTCTGCCTAGCAGCAGCTCCTGGCAGCCCCAGCGGAGCCCCGGGACCCACCGTGTGTCGCTAATCCCCACCGAGAGCTGACCTAATTCCCGGGCACGTGAGCGTGTCTCCAGGCAGAGCGCATGGGAGCGCGCAGGGACGGCAGCGCGCCCGGCACGCCCGGAGACACCGGCTCCAATCGGCCGCGCTCTGCCGCCGCCTTCCCCGGCAGCCCCGCCGCTGCCGCTCCTGCCCGGCCCTGACAACAGCGGAGCCGCTTCCCATTGCTGCGCTTGTATCTGGGGAAGGGTCTCCGTGCGTGTTTACAGCGTCCGCAGCTGCGCTCCAGAGCCCCGAGCAGAGCGGGGCTATCCAAAGCGCGGGGGAGGGTTCGGTGCTTCGCAGCCATCCCAGAAGGGTTCGGTCTCACCGGAGCCATAGGGAGCACCCACGGACCCTTGGGGTGAGGTCTCTGTGCACTGTCTGCCGCCAGGGAGGAGGGATAAGGACACAGACCTTCCCTGCTAAGGGGTGGCAAAGCACTGCCCAGACATTACACACAGGACTTTGCAGCCATTCCCAAGCCAAACCTTCGCCAGCTTGGGTCCCTCAGGTCTGAAGGGCTCCAGCACCCACCAGCCCACCCACAGCTCTGCTGCCACCACCCAAAGAATGTCCCAGGTGTCCAGCAGCAGCAGTGAGAAGGCTGCCTGCCATGTCCCAGGCGTGGACAGAACCCTGAGCAACCCTGGGGGGAGAAGACATCAGGTCAAGCACTGAAGGGGCTCAGACACCTCATGTCCCCGGGCACTGTGGAGTTAGTGGGTGATTTGCCCCTTCCCTGTACCCAAAACAGCCCCTGAGCTGGGGACAGCAGCCCAGGGACACAGGGGACAGCAGGAGTGCTGGCAGCTGAAACTCGTGGGGTCAATCCCACACCACAGAAATACCCCAGGGCGTGAAGCAGCTCCCACCCAGGCACTGCAGGGAGTGCTGGGGGCAGCAGGGTGAAACTCTGCTTTATTCCTCTTTTTCAGGCCCATACTCTTTCCCTGACACTGCAGCAGGGCTCCTGGCTGGCTGATCACCTCCCAGCCTTTGCTGATCACCTCCCAGCCTTTGCTGAGCTCCCTCCAGCCCCCTGTGAAGCTGCAGTTTTTCTTTAAGTCCCTTTTTGGTGCCACCATGTGACTCTGATTCTCATGTTCAGTGATGCTGCATGTCCCCCTCACCTCTCTTAATTGTTCTTGCAGCATCCATCATGGAAATACCAATTTTGGTGCACAGGCTCTGGACAGCAGTCAGATGCCACTGACCTGCAGAATGTCACCAGTGCCAGCATGGGGACAGGCTCAGCTCAGACTGTAGAGCCATAAGGAGCCACTCTGCCCAATGCTGCCATGAGGATGGGAAACCTTCATCCCCAACCTGGCTGATGATCAGCTCAGGGACTGCCCACAGGTAAGATCCCCCACAGAAAGGGCTCTAAAAGGGCCGGGGTTGGGAAAAGGGTTCAAACAGCACAACTCAGACCTGTGCCTGCACTGCCAGCCCTGGGAACACAATGCCCATGGACTCCTAGGGACAGCCAGGAGCCAACTTGCACAGCTCCTTGTGTCCCAAGGCCCTCCTCTTTCTTCCCACTGGAAATTCAGACACTTTCAGTGCAGAAAACATGCTGAGTTCTCCAACACATTGAGATATGGGGGTTGGAAAACCAACATCTGAACTTTTCCAGCCCTTGCTCCTCTTTCCTTGCACTCTCTAGCAGTTTTCCTGCCACCACTGCCAAACACCAGTGGGATTTGGGTATTCACAGGGACGCTGAAACCCCCGGTGGGTACCCAGGTTTCCCCCCAGCCAAGATGTGGTTTGGTTCCAGCAGCCACCAACCCTGGCTGATTTCTGCCCATTCCCCAGGATGAAGCCTGTCCTTTGCAGGCAGGCTGCTGGCAGAGAGGGGAGGCTGGAGGGACAAACCACCAGGAGCATGGGAGGAAGGAAAACGTGACTCTGTCTTCTCCCACACAAGGTAAGGAAATTCCAGTATTCCAGCAGGGCTGTTCTACTCCACCAAATGCAATGAGAGGGGAGACAAAGCAGAGATGCTCTCCAGCCCTCCCCAGCCCACAGTGGGCTCCAGCAGGGTCCTGGGAAGCACCACTGGCTCTGTGCTCTGCAGGAGGTTGCAATAGGAGCAGGCTGCCAAGCTTGGCCTCTGCTGGGATGCTTGACTCGGGCAGGAACGTCATTCCCATCCTGTTGCAGAGCATCCCTCTGGCATGGCTGAGCATCAGCCCCTTCAGCTGAGAGCCTATAAGTGTGAGACTTGTCCTTCCCCCTCCAGCTCTGGGGAGCTCTGGCTTTGCCCAGCTCTGTGTTGCTGAGCTCAAGGGGCAGCCCCCTGCAGAGCCCAATTAAAGATTTCAGTCCCAGAGGAGATGTGGGCTTGGGAGTATCAAGTCTGCCAGGGCTGCTGGTGTTTTTTAAGGGCTTTCACATGTTTTGAAAATCACAATGGCATTTCTCTGACCATTGCTGGACTCTGCCATGGGAGATGGACAGACCTGGACAGACCCACCAAGTGCCCAAAGCTCTGGCCAAGCTGGTGGGGTTTGCCCTGGGCTGGGAGGGTCTCCTAAGGCTGAGCAGGATTTTGGCAGTAACTGCAGTGGTGCTGCTCTGTGGGGAGCCCTGGACCTGCCTGGGATGCTGCACCAGCTGCATGGGAAGAACGGAGGACCCATAGCTCCTGCGTGCTTGGAAAACAAACCGTGCTGGTACTGCTGCCCAAGCCCAGCCTAGGCACCAGTGCCCAGGGCAGCCCAGGGGATTGCTCTCGGATGCCTTCACCTTCTCCACAGCTCGGACAGTAAATCTGGCCCGGGCTACAAGGCTGTGAAGAAGAGAACCCGCTGCTCCGGGCTTCCTCAGCCACAGCTGGGGGAGAAGAGTGGGGTGGGGGGGTGCCCCCAGCCCCCATCACCGCCGCGGGGAGCGCAGCCCTTTTCGGGCAGTGGGGAAGGAGCATCCCTGGGAGCTCTCCTCTCCTGCATCCCTCCTTCCCCGCCCGGCGGGACTCGGCTCCCGGTGCGCGGGAAGCGATGAGGTCATGGTGCTTAATATAGCGATTTCATCACAGCCCTTCTCCCCAGCAACACCGCCCGGCTCCCGCCGCCCCCCCGGCCGGCAGCGCCGGGCATGCGGCGGGATGCGGGGCCGGCCCGGGGCTCTGTGGGGCCGCCCGTGCCTGGTGTCACAGTGCCGCCCTCTGGGCACGGCGGCCGCAGGATGGGGATGCTCCATGCACCCCCTACCCCCCCAAAAAACCCAGGTTTGAGCGGCACGCTGGATCCATCGCGTCCCTCCCGCCCCGCCGTGTGCCATCCTATCCCAGCCGCGGGTTTAGAAGCAGGTGTGGGGAAATGGTTTTCTCCTTCCCCCCGCCCTGCTCATGCCCCTAAGTCTGCAAACAGCTTCCCATTCTTGTAAATAATGAGCGTTACCTTTCCTCTTTCTTTTTCTCTATCCCCAAGACGCTTTTCCCCTGCCCTGCTTCTTAGACACAAACCCTAGAGATTTAAAAAAATCAAGTATTTTTGTCCCCCCCAACCCCCCAAAAAATATTCTCTTAAAGCGCCCCTGCCCTGCACCTGCATCACTTTTATCTGCATCACACGGGGAGAAGAGGGGGTCGGCATGCAGGCAGGGCCTCAGAGAGCTGGGATTAGGTGATGTTGGTGCTGTAACCCCTCCCTGCCAGGGCAGCATCGCCTCCTCAGCCCCCTTCCCTCCCGGGAACTCACCAGCCAGGAGCGCCTGTTTCAGCTCAGCATCCCCCAGCACGGCGGGGCCGGGCCTGTAGAGCACTTCGCTGTCGAGCCCTGGGACACAGCCGGGAGAGAGGGGTTAGTGCTGAGCCCACCTCGTCCCTCCCGACACGGGGCAGGCGGGAGGGGCCGGAACACGGCGCCCCCGCCCTGCCCAGGGGGCTGGGGAGAGCTTTGGCCGCGGGGATGCTCTCGGGGCGCCCTGGAGCGGGCAGGGCTGGGGCTCTGCGGGCACCCGGCTGTGCCCCGCGGCTGTGCCCTGGGTGTCCGTACCTTGTTTTTCCAGCGCCTCGATGAGCCTGGCCACGGTCTGCAGTGCCTGCTCGGGCAGGGCGGGGTGCTCGCTGAGCTCTGCCTGCCCGGGGAGTCCTGCGGCGAAAAGAAGGGGAGAAGGGGTTTGGAAATTCCTGCCCGCAGGAATTCCTCTTTCCTCAGCTGCCCCAGGACAGGATCAAGCTGCTGCTTTGGCACAGCCACAACCAACACTTTGGCTCATGCATCTCTAATTTTGGAGCACTTTTCCCTTTATTTTATCCTCTTTTTGCAATAAGAGTCACCGTTGGGGGCTCAGCTGCTTGCTGGGATGCAAAGACCTGCTCAGGCATGTGCCCTGCCCGTGGGGAGTGTCCCATCCTGGGCATGGAGATCCTCAAAGCCAAAATCCCTTCCCCACCTCTGTTCCCAGGGCAGTGAGACTGCCCCTGCCATCACCCACAGCCCACAGTGACTCGAGGCAGGAGCTGGGGACACAGACCCATGCCCAGCACAGACACGGCTCTCTGCAGCTCTCACCTGCTCGGGCTCTCTGCTGTGCACAGCAGGGTTGAGCACAGGCCCAGGGAGGAGCCAGCCTCCCCTTGGCTGGTGCAGGCCTCCCTCAGCCCCTACAAACCCTTCAGCCAAACAGGGGTCAGCACAAACCCCCGTGTGCTGCTCCCTCCTGGGTTTTAGAGCAAGGACACCTCAGTGCAGACCATGGCAGAGAGGAGCAAAGCCCTTGGCAGGCAGGAGAGCAGCTGTCCTTACCCCAGGGCATGTTGTATCCATCCATCCATCCCTCTTTATCACCCCAGCTGATAAACCCCTCCTGTGTGGGTTAAACCCAGTGGAGACCTTGGCAGGGCAGTGCTGGGATTTCTCCCTGCTCTCTCTTAGGTGGCCTTGAGAACCCAGAACAGCAGGAGGCAGGGGCTGGCAGGGGCTGCACACACAGGGCCGTGTGTGACTGCTGCAGCATGGACAGCCTGTGGAAAGGCCAAAATAAATATAAGAGGGACTTTGGGCAGGGCCAAGCTGCCTTCAATCTTTTGCAAAAAACACAACCTGGCTGCAACAGGTAGATGCAGGCTCTGATCCTCACCGTGGTGGTGCCCTGGGGCTCCCTGGAGAACAGATAATGATGCAAACCTGCCACTGTGGGTGGCTGATCCAGTCCCCAGGCAGGGCCATGACCCCCAAGCACAGCAAGGGGGTCCCCTCTGCCACCCAGTGAGGGTGTGTTGGTGCCTTGGGAACAGGGAAGATTTCAGGGTTAAAAGCAAAGCGCATCATGTGAAGCTCATGCAAAAATGTCCCCACTGCATGAGTGGTTTCGTAATTAAGGAAACTGGGCTTTTCCTCCAAATCAGTGGCTTGGGGAAAAGGTGGTGACTGCAAAAATATAACTTTCTCCTGACTAGGAATGGCAGGAATGGCCCCAAGCTGTGCCACGCTGGACCCCAGCATCCTGATGCCCATGGGGAAGTGGAGGTGATGCCTTGTGGCAGTGGTGCTGCCCAGGACAAGTCAGGGGCAAAACAGCCAGCAAGATCCCCTGGGACTCAGATCTGCTGCAGAGCCATTTTCGGGATGTTATTTAATTAAGAGAAGGACCATTCCTCCCTGCAGAGCCAGCCCTGGCATGGCTGGGACATGCAGTGTCTGTCATTCAGGGCTTCCTCCATGGCCTGAGCCAGCCCAGGGTCCCTGTGTGGCACCAGGGCTCGGAGGGAACTCAGGGCACTCAGGGGTGGGGGGAATGGGGTACGCTGCTGCTGCAGAAATATAAATTTGGGTGCTTTTTTGCCAGAAAAACGTCCCTCAAACCTCAATCTGGAAATGGAATCGGTATGGGAAGAATTAAAAAAAAAAAACCAAAACCCACCAAACCAAAAAAACACAAACCAAAAAATCCCAAACCAAAACAAAAGTACCTTCTCTTCCAAAGGACGTTGGAGATTTTTACTTGAAGGGGAAGCCTGTGAGCTGGGAGATTTGGGTTTAAACTGACACAAAATGGCACACACTGCTCCTGTGCTGCAGGAAGACGTGGTTGTGGGACAAAACGTCCCCTGGTGAGGAACCTGCACACGCTGGCATCGTCCCAGGGAGGGGCACCCCATGGACAGCACTGGGAAGGCAGCACCCAGTGTCCCCCTGGGCAGCAGGGCTGGACACCTGGCCATGGCCAGAGCACGTCCTGCAGCCTCCCCAGCCTACCCCAAAACCTGGCTTTAGGGCTTCTTCCCTACTAAAAACTATGGAATTTACAGTTTAAAAATTTTGTTATCCTTTCACCTGAGTGCACGCAGGGCTGGGGTGCCTACACTGAGACCTTCCTGGTGGGCCAGGCTCTCTGGCCAGGAGGCATTTCCTGCTGCGGACATTCCTCGGTTTGCAGGGAATCTCCACATCCCCAGCACCTCTGGGCAGGGGTCCCTGGGCACATCTCCCCCAGAGAGGAGCCCGAGGCACCCCCTGCATGAGGGGCAGCAAAGGCAGGAACAAGAAGGTGGCTTCACCTTCCCTGTGAGCAGGGCTGGAGAGCCCTGGAGTCTGCTCCTGTGTGCCCCGAAATCTCCACGCAGCACTGAGTTTTCCAGGGCTCTGCCTGCTGAACACTCAGAGGGCTCACCACTGAGCTGGACTGGCCAGGGGGCTCAAACCCCTCATCTGGCAAGATAAACACCCCCAAAAGTGGCTTCCACCCTCCTGCAAATCCAGCACGTAGCTGCACACGGAGCCTCACCAGTGCTGCTGGGACTGCGGCTGTCTTGGCGCACTGGTCGGGGAGGAGCACCTGCATTTTGGGGAGGGGAGGTGTGGAGGGGCCCAGCGTCCTTCCCATGTGGTTGTGGGGCTGCACATCAGGAGCTGCATGGCAGCCCCACGCATAGACATGGATGGTGCTCAGCCCAGGAACCAGGTGGTCCCCCCTCAAATCACAGTGACAAGTGGGTCCTGAACCACATTTTGGAGAGAGACAGGCTCCTCATCAGTGAGTGCCCCTCTAAACCCAGACCCAGCAGCACAGGGGCTGCTCCAGACTGGCCAGGAGGGTGTCTGGGGTGCCAGACCAGCAGCTGGGCAGGTTCTCCTGCCATGGCTGAAGGCGATGCCGCTCTCCCAGCCCCAGGCCAGCACCGACAGCCATTTCTGCTCCATCCATCCCGAGCAGGGGAGCACCATGGCTTTGACTGGGGTCACTGGGATATACCTGGCTGGAAGGGGGCATTCTTACTTTGGTTTTATTTTTTTTTAGCTCATGTACACTGTGTCACTGCTGTGAAATCCCCCCTGGCCCCAACACACTTGGCCTCGGTGAGTGGTGAGGGCAGAGCCGGCTGCACCAGCTGGGCAGATCCAGGCAGAGAAATGGCTGCAGGCCCCTGTGCCAGGAAAGGTCCTGCCAAGCGTCCCCCCAGGGCTCTGCTGCAGCCCCCAGGGACACAGGAGCCCCCCAGGGACTCAGCACGCCGCTTGCCAGGATTGTCCCCTGTCCCAGCTTGCACAAAGTGACAGTGAGGCTGGGAGCTGGCCCAGGGCCAGCACTCGCCCGGGCACTGAGAGCAGCCTGAATCAGGTGCCGCAGTGGTGGGGAGAGGAGCACTTGCAGAAAAGGTCCCTGGAGACCACCACGGAGCTTTCTGCTCCTCTCTGAAGGGCCAAAGAAGCCTTGCATCTTCTCCTGTGCTCTCATGGATGTGGATCCCCTTGGACACTCCATGCCAGCACGGCAGCCAGCCTGGGATGCTGGTGAGGAGCAATCCCTGCAGCATGTTTGGCTGCGGGGTAACAACACTCTGGGCATCCCCTGCCCCTTCTGAGGCTGCCTCCATACATCAGGGCAGATAATTCCCGGGACAACTTCTTTTTCTGGGGCTGGATCCCCATCCCGAGTGTGGTTTCCCACCAAGCCACCTCAGCTGCAAGCATCCACCCGGCTCCACGCCACCCTCACCACCAGGTGAGGGGACACCCACCCGTGGGCTCCCACCGTGCTGCTCCCCTCACACTCACCCCAGGGCGTGGGGGTCCCCGCGGGCGGCAGGGGCAGGGGCCGCGGCCGGGCCTTGGTGGCGGTGGTGGCGATGCGGGCGGGACCCAGGTACTCCACGTAGGTGCCGGGGAAGTCTCCGCGCTCCTTGGTGCGCTCGTTGACGCCGTGCAGCCACCCCTGGGGGTTGCGCTCGTCCCCGTCCTTGTAGTTGGGGCTGCTGAGCAGCCCGGCCCTGCTGACGGTCAGCACATCCCCGGGGCACAGCGCCAGGTCCTCCTCCCGGTCCTTCTGGTACTCGTAGAGGGCCCGGTACTGCAGCCCGTCCGAGGAGGCCATGGCGGGGTCACCGCGGGCCCGGCCCGCCGGGCATTGGGGCCGCTCGGGGCAGCTGTGCCTGGGCTGGGGCACTGCGGGGCTGGGAGCGCTCCCTTCCCTGCACACTCACGGTGAAAACCTCGCTGTTGGCAAATCTGCGGGATGGAGAGCGGCCGCTGACCCTCCAAGCCCAAAATTGCTGTGGGGCCCCAGCAGTGCCTGGCACCCGTTGGCTCAGGTGTGGGCAAGGAGCTGTTCCTTCACCGGGGCAGGCGGAGGGGAGCGAAGGAGGCTCTTGGGGGTGAGGGGACAATCGGGGTCCTCGTTAGCCTGGCTTCATCCGCACCGTGCTGGGGACACCCCTCCCCTGCCAAGAGAAGGGCAGCGCGTTAGTGACCAAAGCTGTGCCTTGACCCGTCCCCCATGCCCGGCTCCCGGCTCAGGGAGAGCCCGGCGGCTCCCTCGGCTCCTGCTTCCCAGGGAGCTCCCGCCAGCAGGGCTCGGCCACTGCACGCAGGGAAAGTACCGGCAAGAGTCTGGAAAGTAGGGCAAGAGATCACGCCACGGGTTTTTAAAATAGACATATGTGCTGAGAAACCTCCTGCCGCACGCAGCTCCCCTCCGGCAGCTCCAGCCTGGCACTGCTGCACGGAGCTGGCAAATGAAGATGTAGATTTTTCATATGGGTTTGGTTTGGGGTTTTTTTTTCCTTTTTTTTTTAATTTTTTTTGGTGCATTTTAATGTATTCCTCCAAGAGTGACATCATCCCTGGGGGGAAAGGCTGTGCTGCTGCCGACCCACTGTCCCCCAGCTTCCAGCAGGACCCCGCGGAAGAGGGATGGAGGGACCATGAGCAGCAGCCGTCTGTCTGTCCAGCCATCCACCCGCCTCCCAGAGCCCTCCCGCCGCCCCTCCAGCCTTACCGGGCGCGGTGGCTCCAGCGGCGGGAGCAGAGAACGGGAGCGGAGCGGAGCCGGCTCCCGGCCCCGCCGAGCCGCGCTCCGGCGGTGATGTCAGCGTCCCTCCTCCTCCTCCTCCTCCTCCTCCCGCTCGGTAGCCGGGTGGCCCCCCCGCCGCAGCGCGTCGGGGGGCGGGGGGCACCCGGCTACCGAGCAGGAGGAGGGAGAATTGTAGGAGTAGGTGGATGACTTCATTCCCAGATGCAGCATCTCTGCTCCCAAATTGCATCCTCTGTAGGATGGAGATCTCCCATCTGTGGGTCTCCATCCATCCTTAGGGGTGCTAAAGGACAGGAGGGGACCAGCGCCCCATGGACACCCCCCTTATGCCAGGCGGATCTCCCTGTGCACCCACACAGAATCCCATCCCTTAACCAGGCTAAAAAACACGCACAGGACAGGCAGGAGACGTCATGGAGAATCCCAGCTCAGGGATGCTCTGGTTCCTCACTCTCCTCCTGAGCTTGGACAAGCTATCCCAGTATTTGTCTGTCTGTGAGGCACAGGGAGATGGATGTGATGTTCCCAAAGGCTTGTTTTGGTTGTTGTTCTTTTTTTTTTTTTTTCCTAAATCCTTGCTTCTCATGCTGACTTCTCTGAAATGGTTGTGGCTCCTTGTCTTTGCTGCAGGTTGGACATCCTAAAAATAGATGGTACCTAAAACACAGGCTCTGGGAAATGCATGCTGGCTGAATCCAAGCCACTGCAGGCAGCAGTGCAGGGGTGGCATGAAGTCCAAGGAGGAACACCAGGTTCTGGGAAAACTGAAGAAGCAGACTCAGAGGCCAGCAGAGCAGTGCAGGAGATGTATGACCCTTCTCATCCATAATTTCAGCAACTCCCCTTCCTTTCCCTGTAGTGCACGGCTGATGGTGCAGGGCAGCAGCATCCTGGGGGATTCCTCCTCAGCTGCACTTCCTTGGGCAGCACACAGCCCCCACTGCCCCACTCCCCAGCTGGATCCAGCCCAGCTGCTGGTCCCTGGGGTTTGGAAGGGAATTTTCTCTCCCTTGTCTCATTTCTGCTGGTGGGACGGGGTCAGAGGTGGCTGTGAACAGGCAGGTGCTGCCCTCCCCACAGTCCCGCTTCCCCAGTCATGATCCCTGTGTCCCACCAGGGGTGAAGAGGTTTTGCTGAGTGTCTGGAACCCCTCCTCATCTCCCCAGTGGGTCCCACAGGGCTGTGAAGTCAGCGAGGCTGAGCACAGGGCCAGTGGTGCTCTGGGGAATGCCTGGGGAAAGGCAGGGAGGTGTTTCCCTCCTGGGACAGGGTGGGAGCTGGGGAGGCTGGTGGGCACATCCCCACCAGTGTCACAGCCATCCTGTCCCAGGATCCATCCAATGTACAGCCAGGAATCAGCACAGTCCTGCATCTCAGGGCAGGGGAACAGCCTGGCATGAACCCCTCATCTCCCCTTCCCAGGCTGCTGATGGGATCCCTCCTGCCCAGGGCAGATATCTCCATTTCAAGGGAGGCTCCTGCCTTCCTTAGCAGACATCTGTCTTTTCCAGCCAAGACAATTATTTCCCTCCTGATGCACCCTTGATGTCCCCAAATACAGAGGCACCATTTCCTGCAGGAGCCAAGTTCCACTGCCCCCAACCCTGCAATGGCTGAGTGGGGCTGAGCATCACCCCAGCTCTCACTGGCTGGCTCCTGTCCCAAGAACCCCCAGAGCACCCCTGACACCCATTCCAGCTGCTCTGCACCAGGATCATTCCCCAAAACTCTGTGTCCTGGGCTGCCCCTCACCCTGTGTCACCCCTCCCTGGTCAATTTAAACCCCCTCACCACTCCAGCCCAGGGTTTGGCTCATCCCCCAGGCTGGGCAGAGGGCCCTCAGAAGCACCCTGTGAAGGCTGCAAGAGGTGCTCCAGACCTTCACTGCTATTGACTGAGCCAGAGGAGCTGCTTGTCAGGCCCTGATTAACCCACCCTCGCTGGATTAATGAGCAGCGCTCATGGCAATGAGAGCTTTGCCGTGGCTTGCCTGGCCTTGGCTGCTCTGTGGAGAGAGCAGGAGGAGCTGTCCTTGCTCCCTGCAGCCCACAGCTCCCTTCAGGCCCCCTTTGCTCCCTGTCTGGGCAGCCCAGGGTGGGTGGCTCTGTGGGGAGGAGAGTGATGTGTCCCCAGTGGGGTCCCCATGCCCTTCTGCAGCTTCTCTCCTCCCCTGCCTGGAGGGACAACCCTTGGTGGAAGCATCTCCAGGGAATGCTCAGCTCACCTTGGCTGCCTGTCCTGCCTGGCCTTTCCAAAGTGGCAGGGGTCCCACTGCTCCCCTCTTTGCTTTTGGGGGCTGCCATGCTCATGTCCAGGGAAGTTGGCCACATGGCTGTGAGTAAATAGAGCAGAAATAGAGCTGTTGACATGCCTGGCTGCAGAAAGTGAGGCTGCAGAGTGGGCTGAGCCCTTCCCAGCCAGAAAAAACGTAGAGAAAAGGTTTTTGATTTCCTTTGACATTTCAGAGTTGGCTTTTTTGGTATCACCACTGTTTCCTCAGTTCGGAATGGGCCTTGCTTTGCTTTCTCTTTAGGAGCAGGAAAAGGCTCTTGGCTTTCTTCTGAAGTGCCCAGCATTGAGCTGTGTGGATTCTGATTTAGGGAGAGCCTCTTCAAACACCTCCCAGTGTGGCATCCGTGGACAACCTCTCACCACTTGCTCCCACCACCCCAAACTGCCTGCTGGGCTGGGGCTGCCCCAGCCTGGGGAGGCTGCACAAAACCCCAGGGACACAGGGAAAGGCTGGAGGTGCTGCTGGGGCTCTCTCCTGCCTTTCTGCAGGGCTGAAGCTTCACAGCAAGGCAGCTGCCAGGAGCTGGCCGATAGCTTTTAGGGTCAGATCAGACAAGGACCCCTTTTAGGAGGGGGTGCTGGCAGGGCACCCCAGCCTGGGGACACGATGCCACCTCAATGCCACCCCTCTGGGCAGCGGGGCTGGGCCGGGTCCCACACCCGACCTGGGTGGGAGCAGGAAGCTCCAGCGCCCTCCAGCCCTGGGCACCGTGGCTGTTGAGCCGGCACAGCCACAGCGGCCCCGGAGCGGCGGCGCTCGCACGGAGCCGTCCCGGTGCGACCCCTCCGCATCCTCTGCGCGGCAGCCGCCGCCCCGGCGTGGCCCTTGGTAGGTAATGCAAGGGGATCTGCCGGCCTGGACACGCGTGGGGAGCAAGGAAATGGGATCTGGGCTGGGGGGGACATCACGGGAGGAAGCCCAGCCCGGTGCAAAGGAGGGATGCTGTCATCGGGCCCCTCGTTGGTTATCAGCGCACAGCTGGGACAGCACCGCGATTAACATCACATTATCATCCCTGTGAGGCACGGGGACAGATCCTCCCCTGAGGGACACGCACAGGGCGAGCACTGCTGGCACACACTGGCACTGCCCCTTCTCACCCCTGCATTTACACCCCGGGCCCCACTGGCAGAGGTCGCAGCACCAGATGGGGCAGCTCTTGCTCTTGGCACTCCGGCCGTGGTTTTGCACATAACCACAGGAATGAGGAGGGTTCCCCCGGAAGCGGGAGCTGCAGCCACAGGGAAATCGGTGTGGTCCCACTGCCTGGTCCCTCCCAAGGCGGGGGAACTGGGATTTCCCCAGCTCTCCAGCCAAAATGCTTTGATTCCTTTCGAAGCTGAGAACTGAAATATTTCAAGACATCAAAAACTTTTGGCTGATGCAGATATTTATTTCTCCACATCAGGAGGTGGGAAGTGATGAATTCAGCACAAATCTGCAACATTCAGTAACTTCCATCTGCAAGCCCAAAGTCGGGTTCATGGCAGGCACATTGCAGTGTGTCCGTCCATCCTGGCTGCCCTGTCTGGGTGCTGGACAGACAGCTGGGCAGATGCTGCCAGCCCAAAACAGACATGGGAAAGCCCTTTGCAAGGGACTCACCTGGCTGGGGATATCCCAAAATCCTGTCAGTCACAGACCTGGCTGGTCTCCATGGCTGGTGATGCCTGGGGCTTCTCACCCTGTGCTTTACCAGGAGGGAAACTGAGGCCACTTCCCCGCTCTCAGTGTCCCAGGGAAGCTGCTTGGAGGAGCTTTGCTGCCCCTGACCTGGTGAGAGGCATCCCCATGCTCCAGGGAGGGGGATGCTGAGGATCCAGCTGGCCTGTGGGAGAGGATGGGGACAGCAGGGAGATGGTGTGGCCTTGCTGGGCAGCAGGGACACGGGAATGTCACTGGACTCGTCCTTCTGTGGTCAGGTCAGGCCTTCCCAGAGAACCAGAAAATCCAGCCCTGGCTCCCTAATGGGGCTCAGGTGGGGGATGCTGGGGAGCAGCTGAACCCCAGGCTGTGGCACCAGGCACTGGAGGAGATGAGGGGAGCAGTCCATAGCTTGTCCTCATTTTCCCCCTGTGGCTGGCAATGATTGGGAAGGAGAGCAAATATTCACATATTTGCCAAAATTATTTTTGGGGTGGGGTTTGTGTGCAGCAAACAGGGCCAGGCTGGGATGGGGCAACTTTTGGGAGAGGGGCAACTTTTGGGAGAGGGGCAATATGAGAGGGGGTTTAGGAGCAGCTGTCCCCCTTTGGGAGAGGAATGAAGGCTTGGCCCCGACTCTGAGCAGCTTCCTGGCAGCTGCTGCAGGAAAGGGCTGAGGCTACAGGCAGTGAGGGGGCGAGGGCCACAGCCCCCAGCTGCAGCAGGGGTTGTGCTCATACCCAGGGTGCCTGGGAGGGTTAGAGGCTTCCCCCAAATACCACTGTGATTTGGCTGGAGCCAATGGGGCTGACTTCATCCTGCTGAAATGTATCATTACAGCCAGGCAGGGAATGTGCTGTGGGGTTTTGGGGGAGCTGGGTGTGGGGTGGAGTGTGCTGAGCACACAGAGCCTGGTTTCCTGCAGGATGAGGTCTCCCCTGCCTCCTGCATCACTTTGTGGTTTGATGACAAGTTGAAGGGACATGCTGTGGGTTCTGGTGAGGGGACCAGCACCAGCTCCTGCCCCAAAGGAGCCCTTGGACAGTCAGGGACCACTGCCAGGGCCAGGCCTGGGGAGGCAGCATCCCCCTCTGTGCTGTGTGCCTCTTGCAGTCCTCCTCTGTGGGAAACCAGCCCTTTTTCAAAGCTTCTTTCCAAACAAAATCACTTTTGGCAGCCCTTAGGCAATGGCAGGTCTCTGCTGACTGCTCCAGTGCTGGCATCTGTCATGGCTGTCACTGTCCTCTCCCGCCGTCACCCTGTTGTGTCCCTGCCAGCAAAAATCCACCTGGCTGTGCAGCATCGGGGACGGCCAGTGCAGCTTTGGGTTCTCCTTCGCAAAGCAGCTCCTGGGGCCGTTCCCCAGCGCCCTCCTTTGCCAGCCTCTCTTTTGGCCCAGGACATTTGGGGTTTGCAGAGACCCCTGTGGTGCTGAGGAGGGGAGCAGCAGCAGGTCACGCACAGAATCGGCCTGCGGGGATGGGTGCCCTGGCCGTGGTTGGAGAGGGAGGCCGTGACCCGGGTGTGACCCTGTGAGTGCTGGGTGCCACAGCCGGGGATCCATCCCTGAGCACGGAGGAGGGCGGCGCGCTGGTCCCGCACGGCTGCGGGTGACAGACGGGGCTCGAACACCGCCGGGGCAGCGTCCCCAGGGCAGGAGGGACCCCGCGGGAAGGGCCGGGAGCCGGGAGTGTCCCAGGGAGGCGGCAGAGGGCAGCAGGGCTCCGGTGCGGGCTGCCCGGGGGTGGCCCCGGCGGGGCGGGGGGCTCGGGCGGCGGGGGCGGCCCCGGCCGCGCCCCGTTAAAAGGCGGCACCGGCGGGGCGGAGGAGGCACAGCGGGCTGGGCGGGACGGGGCTGCACGCTGGGATCTGCTCTCCCTTCAGGTAAGTTGTGTCTGTCCCTCCCCGCCCGTGGGGACACCTGGAGGGGCGCTGGGCTCTGGGCACGGCAGCGGCTGTGCTGGGTGGGGGCTCCCCCGGTAACCTCTCTGCTCTCCCCAGGTGCAAAGATGGGGTGCTTCACCTTTATCAAGGTCATGATGATCCTCTTCAACCTGGCCATCTTCGTGAGTGCGCCCCGGGGGCTGGGGTCCGTGGGAGGGGGTCCCGGGGAGTCCCCGGAGCCGGGTGTGGGGTGGGTTTGGGTCTGGCCGCGCTCCCCTGCCCCTCCGGACTCCTTTCTGTGGGCCATGGGGTGGAGAGCGTGGGCAGGTGGGTGCAGGTGGGACTCGCCGAGCCCAGCGGGCTGTGCCGTGCTCTGGGGACAGTGGCTGTTGCATCAGCTGCCCCTGTCCCTCGCTGTGCTGAAGCTTGGCAAGGTGGTGATGTCCCGGAACAGTGGGTTCGCTGCATCCCTGCCTGAGGGTCCTGCCTCTGTAGGGGAGCAGCTCCCGTGTGTGACTGTGGCTTGGGGGCTCCTGGATGTCGGGAATTCAGAGCACATGCAGGCTCTGCTGCCACCCAGGGCAAAGGGAGCGGAGCTGGCAGGAGCTGCCCTGGCCCTGCAGGAGCCACCTGGAAGAGGCTGTGGTAGGACACAGCCTTGGGAAGGAAGGTGTGCAGAGCCTCCTGGCTTGCTCTGCTGAAACACTCCCTCTGTAAAGCCCCTGCCAGGATTTGAGTATGGTGGGGAAGGTCGAGGGGGCAGAGGGAAGGGCTGGCACAGACTGCAGGCAGCCCAGAGCTGACCTTGCCCAGGACTGTCTGGGGCCAGGGGCTGCCCAGCTTCTCCTCTGGGTGGGCAGGCAGCCGCCCTGCATGGAGGAGATCGTGGAAGTGTGATGGTGGCCAGAGCCTGCACTGGCCCTGTGGGATCGTGGTGGCACTGCTGGCTTGGCTGCTCCACTGCTGGCACTGAAACCCCTCAGCTGTGGCACTGCCCAGGGGATGTGGGGGTGTGGGGTGTGTTTCAGGGTACTGAGCTGTCTGGCAGTGCCCTGGGCTGCCTGCAGTGCCACAAAGTCTTGCTTTGGTGTGGGGAAAAACTGCCAAGGGGAGAAACACCTGTGCCAAGGCCTTGCCCGAGTATCAAATCTCGTGCCTACCTGGAAGCTGACATTGCCTTTCTCCTCCCAGCTCAGTGGTGGGACCCTCCTGGGAGTTGGCATCTGGGTCAAAGTGGATGGAGAGTCATTCCTGAAAATATTTGGGACGCTGTCCTCCAGCATCCTGCAGGTTGTGAATGTGGCCTATCTCCTCATTGTCATTGGTGCCATCCTGCTGGTGATCGGCTTCCTCGGGTGCTACGGTGCCCAGAAGGAGAGCAAATGTCTCCTGATGATGGTATGGACCTGGCTGACCTCCTTATCAAGCCTCATTTGAGCTGGATCTGTGGTGGGAGAGGCCTGGTGGGCAGATTTCTCTGTGGATATTTCCATGTGGTGGCAGTCTGGGTGGCCCTTGGAAAGGCAGTGCTGGACTCAGTCTGCCCCAGAAAGGGTGAGAGGAGGCAGGGGTCACGCTGAGCTGAGGTCTCTCTCTTGGAGAGCGTCCAGAGAGCCCAGCCCCAAGCAGGTGGAGGGCAGGAGGACCCCAAGGTTGTGCTGCTCCTGCCCAGGAGCAGAGCTGAAGGCAGTGAGGCAGGAGGGCTGGAGCCCTGGGGAGGCAGATGAGTTCCAGGGGCCCCTGAGGATTCTGGCTGGGGTTTGACCTCCCTTCCCTTGCTATGTCCTAGTTCTTCTCAGTGGTGCTGATCATCTTCATTGCTGAAGTTGCTGCTGCCGTGGTGGCTCTGGTCTTCACAGGTCTTGTGAGTGCAATCCCTGAGTCTTGGGTTGGGCTGGTGTGGGATGTGTCCTACCCTTTGGGAAAACAGGAGCCATGGGCTGCCCATGGGTGTGGCTGCTCAGAGTGGTCAGTGCTCAGGAGGAAGGGATTTTGGGATGTTGGTCACTGCTGGCACCAGATAGGTGGGCAGGCTGGAGTGGCCTGAGGGTGGTGGGAGCAGAGTTTCCTGTTATATCATAACCCTCATATTTTTAGGACAAGTCTTGCCCACTTCTTTCTGTCAAGCCCCTCAGTCCTGAACCAGCTTAGGCTTGACACCTCCCCACCTCTGAGGGTAGGAGCCACTGGAGGAGGAAGTTCCTATTGCCTCATGCTGAGCAAACTAACCCTATTATTAGCACCTGAGAAACCACCTGGAGAGAAAGGTGACTGCCTCATTAGGCACTGGAGAAGTCAGCCACAGGGCAAACTCATTCCTGGCTCCCTCACTTAACACTGCTTATCAGATGACTCAGGGCATAAGTGACCTTGTGCCATAAAGCATTGTTTGGTGGGGAAGAGGAAAACTCTCTGTGGGTCAAATGGCCATGGTGTGACTGCTGGCCATGCTGGGTCTTTTTGGTCTCCTCTCCATAGGCTGAGACCAGTATGGGGGTGCTCAGCTCTGTGGTGCTCCCCAGGACCTTCTCTGATTGTGTTTCCCTGCCCTTTCTTCCAGGCAGAGACGTTACTGACAGGGCTGGTGACCCCACTGCTGAAGGAGAAGTATGGGGTGGATGAGGCATTCACACAGATCTGGAATGTCACCATGTCAGAGGTGTGCTGAGCACTGTGGGTCAGGATCCTCCCAACATGGGCTTAGGTGGTGCATGTCTGGGCGGGACAGGGAAAGGGAAGTGGGGACACATCACAGTCCTGGATGTGCTGAGCTGTCACCACCTCCTCAATTCCCCAGGTTCCTGGGAAGGGCCTGCTTGGGACCTGGTGGGGTGAGAGCTGTGTGTGATGGTGTGTGGGGCAAAACCCTGGTCCCAAGGTGACTACTGAGCAGCCCACTGAGGCAGGGTTGAGCTGGGTGACCCCCTCCATGAGCCAGTGGGGTCCAGATGGTGTCAGAGCATGGAGGGAGACCTGAAGGATGCTCCTCCCATCCCTTCCTCTCTCTCCCTCTTAGGTTCACTGCTGTGGCCTGAATAACTACACAGACTTCAACAACTCCTACTTTTATGATACACACCATGGCTACCCCGTGCAGTGCTGTGACACGCAGGAACCCTGCAACAGCACAGTGGCTGCAGAAGTGGCTGTCCAGGTAAGGGTGTGCTGCTGGCAGAGCCTGGCTTGGGGTGTGCCTGGGCATGGGGAGGGAGACCTGTCCTGTAGCTCCAGCCCCAGCTCTGCACACAGTGGTCCCATGGGCTTTAAGTTCTGGGGGGAGGCTGTGGTGGCCTTGGCTTTTCCCTGGTAGAAACAAGTAAAGCTGTTATGTTTTTCTGGTCCTGAAGGGAATAGGGTGGCATGCTTGATGCTGGGCTTGAACCCAGGCACCACTCTGCCTTTTTGGGTGATTTTCCTGGTTCTTCCCTTCCTTTCCTTGCTCCCTACCCAATATTTGGTCTGAGAAGTGGCTGAGTTGCCCCTGAAGCCTCAGACCTTCCCCATGGCTGTGTGCTCTGGGCTGGAGAAGCAGTAGCTCCCTTCCTGGGGGATGCTGTGCCCTGGCAGTTGGGGTATCACCACCTCTTGCCATCCTCACCTGTGTGCTTGCCTCGTGCAGGGCTGTTTCAAACAGATCCTGGAAGAAATCAGGACCAACGCAGGGGTGGCGGGCGGCGTGGCAGCCGGCATCGCTGCCCTGGAGGTGAGTGCCTGAGCGCTGCTCTGTGCCTCTCCTTGTGCCTGGAGCAGGGGCTGGGCCAGCCTGGGGGCTCCAGGGGGCTGGTGCAGCTCCATGGACCACCTGCAGCTCCAGATACTGAGCCTTCTTCCCTGGGCACCTCCAGCCCTCCCACTGGTGCCCTGGGCACGGAGGGCTGTGACCCAAAGCCCTGCTGGGAAGGGGAGGGAGGCTGCACATTTAGGGGGCTGATTTGCACCTTGCCACCCCCAGATTGCAGCCATGGCCGTGTCCATGTACCTGTACTGTCGGCTGGATGAGAAGTGACCCCCTGAGGCAGGAGGATGACCTGCCACCCCCCATGCTGGGGTGCACCTGTGATGTGCCATGCTCTCAGGGGAACCCCATCCCTCCCCAGGTCTGATGCTCTCCTGTGCACTGTGATTTGTAGCTGTATTTTGATCTACTGAGCTGGGATCTGTAGAGTTTGTGTATATTTTTGTACTGATATGGTATACAGAGCCTGTACATAGAGATTTGGGGTGTTTTTTGATTGGGGGGTGGGTGTTGGGAGAAGCTGCTTGGTCTGTTTGGCTGATGCCAGCAGGAGATAAAGCAGCACAGGGGCTTTTCAGGGCTGCTGATCTGGCAGTGGCACAGTGATGCCTTGAGAAGCCCCGGCAGCTGGGTCTGGGTGCTGTACTGCTCTCACACTGTCCCTGCTGTGTCCCCCTGCATCCCTTTGAGGGGTAACTACACCCTCACTGGGGATGTATCTACTCCTGCACCCATCCTCTGCCAGCCCTGGCCTTGCTGCCATGTGTCCCCTGAAGGAGGGGCTGGCTGGGTGCTGGCTGCTCTCTGCCCTTCCCTGGCTCTGCAGGGGCTGAGGCTGCCCTGTACCCTGTGCCATTTTGTGCCTGAGCCCCTCTCCCTGCTGTAAAGAAATGCAAATAAATTTTTCATCTTGGAAACAAATTATTTTCTGGAGTTGTTCGTGGTGCTGCCTTTAATAAATACCCTCTGCTGTGTTGGGGGTGTACGGGTGAGGGCTGCCTCACGTCCCTGCCCATTCCCTTCCATGTCCTTGCAGGCACCACAGCCCTGCCCACAGCCTCCCTGCCCTCCTTGCCTGTGGCTCCCCACCTGCTCAGGTGCTTGGAAACAGAGCAGCCCTGTGTTTGCACAGCAGACAGGGTGCTGGGAGGACACCACCCTTACAGCCCCTGCCCTCTGCAACACCCACTGCTTGCTCACAGCAAGGGACTGAGCAGCAGCTTGGCTTGAAAGGCAGAGCTGGCTGGGGGTTCCTGTGTCCCCATCAGCTGCAGGAACCTGGAATGGGGTGGTGGAGAGCTGCGGGTGGCAGGATCCATCCCTCTGAACATCTCCACCCCAGTGCTGTCCTGCACTGCCTGTGTCTGATGCACCTGCCCTCCCTCTGTCTGTGGGATGTGGGAGGTGGGTGGGCTTGGAGGGTTTCCAGATACTTCTACTGCTACTCCCTCTCTGCCTCAGTTTCTCCACTGCAAAAGCACAGCTGGGGTGGTGCTCCCAAGGGCTCCTTCACCCTGTTTTGGCCAGGGCTGTGGGGCAGGGAGGTGAAGGACAGGGGTGGTGGCAGGAGGCCAGTGTGCACACAGCCTCCCCAGCCCTGCCTCGCTCTGTGCCTGCTGTGGCACCCCCTTATCAGCTCCTGCCCGGTACGAGGCTGCACCAAGCGCTGCCGTGGTCTGGCATCTCCCTGGTGCCATCCAGTTCCTGTCACAGGGGCAGGAGCAGGCAGGGACAGTGGGACGGGCACCCACTCCCCACACTGGGTCACTTAGCCCTGAGGAGAGGGCATCTGGCCCTGCCCCATGGCAGGGTGTGGGGGAAGCTGTGAGAAAACAGCCTTGTCTTTCCTGGCCAGGGGAATAAATAGGTCCCAGTTCTACCATAAACTGGTGCCACCTCATGGGTGGCGTCAGGGCTTTTATGCCTCTTATGCCTCTCCAAGGCTGCAGGAGCTGCCAGGAAGCCCTTCCTGGAGGTGTTGTGGTGCCCAGGAACCAGTTGGCACAGAGCTGGGCACACCTGGCCGTGTCCTGCTCTGCCCCTGTTTTTGGGATGCCTTGCACACACCCTCTCACCATCGGCCCCGTGGGGCGGAGCAGGCTCAGGGGTGAAACTGCTGGCTTCCACCCTTGCAACTCCTCCTAGCCAGGGATTTCCATGGGTCAGAACAGGCTGTTTCTGTGGCACTGAGTTTTGTAAATAGCCCTGCAACCACTGGCTTGGTCCCTCCCCTCCACCTGCTGGGAAAACTTGCAGGACCAGTTTCTCCTCGCGGATGCGGATGCAATTCCTCCCAATTGCCCTTTGCGGTTCTTGGCTGCCCTGGCAGCCAAAATCAGAGCAGTGGGGGGTAAACTGGACTGGCACAGCCTCCCTGTGCTCCCACTGTGCCCCTGCCCTCCGCTTCCACTGCCCAAGCACTGCCACAGCCTTTGGGCTCTCCAAGGAGATCCCATTCCAGCTGCTCCCCCACAAGCTCTGTGGCCCATCCCAGCCCACCACCCACCCCCACCAGCTCATGTGGGTGCCACCAGGCACCTCTGCACTTTATATCCCTTAGAGCTGCCCAGTTCTTACAGACTGGCACGCTGGGGCAAACAGAAACTGTCAGCACAAGGCCAAGAGGTCCCTGAGGGATTATGGTGGCAAACAGAAACTTCCTTATTGCCCCTGGAAGATGGCAGGAGATGGCTCGAGGACCTGGCACATCTGGGTGTGTGCTAAAGTGGGGGTTCTTCTTTTCCACCTGGGATACAGGGTGAGGGAAGGCAGGAGGGCAAAGTCTCCCTGCAGGGACGTTGAGCAAACATCAGCCAGTGCCATGATGGGAGACGAACAGAGACCAAAATTCCTGGAGATTTGCAAGGTGCACTCTCCAGCGGCATTACTTGCCCCAGGGCACAGCAGGCAAAACCCGGTGTGGTGCAGGAGCCTGTGCTGGCAGGGAGTGGGCAGTGATCGGTAATTAGGAAAGGAGCCGCCCCCTCCTTCCTGGGAATTAGCATCGATGGGAACAGGTAGACGAAAAGAAGGAGGAGCTGCACCTCTTTGGGTTTGTGCTAGTAAAGGGGTAATAAGAAGCAAAAGCAAATTCATCCAGCATTAGTTGTCAAGGAGTGCCTGCTTTGGGGAATTACCCCTGCCTGCTGTAAAAGCTGGGACAGGATGTTCCCAGACTGGGGACAAGAGGATATCCTTGAATGGCTCAGGCTGGTCCTGGGGAAGAAGTGAGGCAATGCACACTTTCCCTTGCACAGGCTGCCTGCCTGACTCCCCTCCTCCTCAGAGATAAACCATCCTGAGTGCCAGCCTGACCTCAACAGTGCTTTCCAGGCAGCTCCCTGCCTAATTGTTTAGTGGGGATATCAGAGGAGGCGATGCAAGGGCTGTTCAAGAGGCAGCAGGCAGGAGCTGCCATTGAACTGTGTGTTAATCATTAATGCTGCACCGGGCAGGGACAGCACAACAACCGTCACAGCAATCCTGGTACCCAGTCGAAGATTAATTTTCCACCTACTTTGAATGTGGGAACAGGAGGTGGCAGCCCTGTGTCTGCAGGCACAGCAGGGAACAGGGACAGGAATGGGCTGGGTGCAGGGAAAGGACCCCTCTCAAAGCTGGGAACAAAGGGAGAAGCCAAGCAGAGCCCCTTCCTGGGAGCAGTTTGGGCACCTTGGCATTTATGACTTTTTATTCATAAATGCTTTTGGCATTCATGGCTTTTTATGAGGCAGAGGGTGCTGAAAATTTAGGATCAGGTTTCTGGGCTGGGATGCAAGTGGCTGGGCACAGCATCACTGACTCCCTCCCACGGAGGGAAGGAGATGGGGCCAGCAGGGAGCTAGTGATGACATCTCTCCATTCAAGAGGACTGGGTGTGTTATCCCAGAGGACTCTGGCTGGAAGGCTCTTCCCTCCATCTGTGGGGCACAAAGGAACCCATGTGCCATAGGAAGGGTCAGCCTAGACCTTGTCTCCCACATACCAGCCCGTCATCAGAGCACAGGGACTTCCTGCTTCCTCGGCACAGAGATCTCCAACAAAAAAAAACTATGATGCATAAAAATAAACACCACCGGAAACTATGCAAAATTCCCCACCCCCCACAAGCTCTGGAAAGGTCAAGTTTCATGCCAACACTATTTTGCTTTTGTTTAATTATCAGCCAGCTCCTGGGAGGTGGGGCAGCCCGGACAGGTTCTGCTTTGTAGGGCTGCACAAAGCCAGGGAGGCCGGGCTGGGGGGGCTGCAGGGGCTGGGTGAGAAGTGCAGCTTGGGCAGCACGTGCTGCAGTGCTGCTGCATGGGGCTGAGCTGGGGCAGCCACTGGGTCGGACTTCAGGGTGGGCAGGTGAGGAGACAATGGCCTGGCCAGCTCCTGGGACAGCTGGGAATGCTCCAGCAGCAGCAGGAGGCACCAGGAAGTGAGTGAGACCCCCCAAAAAGGGCAGGATGATGATGGCTCATCTAACAAGCGCCCCGGGGTGATGAACCCTGGCATCAGCAGCACCTGGAGGGCCGAGGCTCTCCACCAGCCTCCACAGGTTCTCCCCTTCAAGGGGTTAACCTGCTTCTGCTCTCCTCCCTCTGTTTCAGGAGGGAAGGCTCCTATAAAGGCAGCGGTTTGGAGGTGTCAGACCTGAGCCCAGTCGCTCTGCAGGGCTCTGCCCCAAGCAGGTGGATCTGCCTCTCGCCTTTGGTGCCGCAGGGCTTGGCTGGGCAGGAGGCAGATGTGGAGGTGAGAGCCCCTCACCAAGGCCCTGGGACTAAGTAAAAAACTTCTGCCAGGGTGTTGCCCTGCCAGAAAGGTCCTGGGGAGGGGCTGTAAGCCCAGCCTGGCTGCAGGGAGCAGGCAGGGGAGCAGGATGGAGCTGGTCCACACTGGTGGCTGACACTCTCCCACTACCACTTTATTTCAGTCCTGTGGTCTCTGCCCCAGAAACGGGTGCATCCCCAGCCCTCCAGGGTTCCCTGCCCTATAGGGCAGACATTTGGAGTGGTCTAGAGTGTGACAAGGCTGTAGATCTCAGGACACAGCACCTGGACGTGCCAGGAGGAAGACAGGAACGAGTCACCAGGCAGCTCGTCAGAGTTTCCATCAGTTGATGAAGATAAAAGTGATAAAGCTTGAGGAGGAAATAGCTCACAAACCTGTGCCAGCCCTGCTGGCACTGCATGGCACCACACAGGGGACCTCTGCTGGCACAGGCCTGGGGCCACTGTCAGCCCACAGCCAGGCCTGTGCAGCCCTGGGCAGAGCAAGCCACCAGGGGACAGGGGTCTGTCCTCTCCAGGCAGGACCCAGAGCCAGGGACCCCAGCCCTGTACCCTGCACAGGGCCAGCTATGAAACACACGAGGCTCAACAGCTTTGCAATGTTTACTCTTGA